TAACACATTTGTTTTCAGCCTTGTTCAACATATATTGGAGTATCACATTTAAAGAGCATGTTTGATATGGAGCAGTAGGCCCTCGTTATTACCATGGACAGTTTTTTTTATTAATTACATTATGTGATATTGTGCTGCTCGTACACACTTCACACTAGCATATCCCTCCATACTTAGATGAAAATACATACAAATGAAGGGAGATTTGGCCTGCGACGGACGAGATCGAAATAACACCCGATATGTTCAATATTTATTTAGCCGATAGGCTCTAGAAAGCGTGGACCAATTTGCTTTGGGCAAAGAATGAGTACAACGTTGAGTCATTAACAAGTTATTTCTCACTCGTAAATCTTCTACGGCTGGCCTTTTTTTTATTTTTCTAAAGCAAACCCAGTCTCGGCCCCAGATCTCCCCATTCGTAGGCATCCTGGCGTGATTTAAAACGTCCTTTGAGAAAGTCAGTGATTCTCCTCTCCTTCCTCCGGCAACGGTGCTGACCTCACAATCTGAAGGTCGCCTGCTGAGAGAGAGAGAGAGAGGGAGAGACCTCCCCCTGGGGGAATTAACCAGTACTGCACATAATCAGCTAAGAGCGTTCAAACCTCCCTCATGTGATCGGCTTGTTTAATGGTGTGTCTTTGACATACTTTTGGTTTTGTGTCAGTATTGTGGGTATCCTGTTGGCCCTTGCATACAACCGTATATTTACACATCGCGTTCACCCCAGTGCTTAGCTGTGAGACAGGTACGCCTGTCCAACGAAATGTAAGCAGGTGACGAAAGGTCTTTCAAATCAATTACCCCCACACAGGCTGAGGAAGAGGAAGGTGACGGACTGTAAACGGAGATCGCACGGCTCCGTGTTTCACTCGCCCTTGGCTCGAGAGAGAGAGAGAGAGAGAGAGAGAGATGGCTTCCCAAATGAGGTCAAGAGGAGGAAGACGACTGTTTGTGACTCAAACAGAGACTCGTCGTGGGCCCCAAACCACACATTCCTCTTCAGTGTGAGCAACCCACTCCTCTCTAACCTGTGATTAGTTTTATTTTATTTTGTTCATTTCATTTTAGATGGGGCTGTTGTGGGCCTGCATGTTTTTATTTGAAGGTCATTCAGACTTTCTGAAACAAAACAATAACACTCGTATAACCTGGTGGTAATATTGTTAATATTTGTGTTACTATTTAGCAGACACTTTAAGCCAAAGCCGTTACAGTAAATTCAGGTAGGCCTAGGTCATTAAGGAGCAGGTAGGGTTAGGCTGTGGACATTGGGGATCAAACCCAGGACCTTTCGCCTGGGAGTCGAACACAAACTATAGTTTTCAAACAGCCTTTTTCACACTTTTTTTAAGCCAGGGTCCAGTAAAGCTTGACCCTCAGCCTCTGGGGCCCACCTAGTGCCACATGAACTGGAATATATTACAGAACTTTAATTGCCAAATGAACAATGTCAGCTATCCGTTTTTTTCAATCAGTGATTGCGAGTGATCTGACATTTGATTTGTTGACTGCAAATTCTGTGGTTTGATGGGTCAATGAGTATTTGGTGCACATATTAACAAAGCACAAGCTCATAAGTGGTCAATGGTCTATAATATCTTATGGTCTGTATTAAAACAAGTGCAGACCAGTAGCCACTGCCCCCCAGTCCGGTCCTGGGCCCCAACCCATGGATTGAGAAGCGCTGCCCTCACCCCTACCTGCTCATTAACAAGTAGTATCTCAATTTACTTGGGATAAAAGTGCCTGTTAAATAACTTAACAGTACACACAGTTTCCTCGTAAGTGATGACACACATCCTACCTACACATCCTTCTTACACATCCTTACACATCCACCTACACGTCCTTCTTACATATCCTACCTATACATCCTGTTGTAACACTTTCATTTTTAAGTGTTTTTGTTTCTCTTTTCTTAAGCTGTGTGATCAAAATAGAGTTGACTGTCTTACACATCCTACATACACACAAAACGAACACCCTGTCACACCCAGTTGAGGTTAACACTATACGCTTGTTAAATGCACAAAAAAAAAAAAAACAGCCCCCAAATAAAAATGAATGCACTCATGGTATGCGGTAATATGATTTGGATAAAAGAGTCCACCAAAGGCCTATGTCTTTATTTACTTAATTATTTATCACATGCACAACAACCGCCTTCACTTGCCTTGTGTATAATATCTTTCCTCTCTGTCTGTATGTCTCTACTTCTTGTTCTTTCTTGCATCCTGCCAATATTTTCTGGGTTTTAACCCTTAATTAGCGATGAACGATATGGTAAAAAAAAACTATTAATGGGAAGGGAATGATCATTTTTGCATTACAATTTTGATTTTCACTGAAAAACTATTAAAATCATGATGACTTGTTGGGGTCTGTACCAAACATACATGTTGTCTTACATCTGGAGAAAACAAATAGTGTAGGCCAGTACTTCACTTATAATGGTTATAAATTCACATTTACACATTTTACCCATATCAAAAAAATTGCAGCTCCTGCCATTTGGATATTGCACTAGGCCATATTGCGCTTTCGATAATATTTGTATTAATTGTTCAGCCCTACCCCCAACCTGCAGTATACCTGTATAGGCATCCTTGACTTTATTGCCCTGACCCCTACCTGCTCCTTAACGGTCCTGTAGACAACTTTGTTGCTTTAACGTATCAATATGAGGTAAATGTTGATGGCACAGTGTAATGGCTACAGAATAATGACACCATCAGCGTTTCGATCGGTTCCCTTAGCTTCCCTATACGTTTGCTTTCACTATGCAGCTCTGTCTGCCACCGGGTACGATCTCCCGGGAAAGCGGTAGCTACCAGTAGCTTTCCTCATTAGCTATCCCCAGTAGTGGAAATGGCGGACTGTGGAACAACCGAAGTAAAGCCAATCTGATGACTACTAATATCTGCGTACGCTACGTTTTTGCATTGAGTATACTACCTGAATAAACCTCATGTCGTGACTCGCCAGGCGACCAAGTCAGGATACCAACCCAGTTCGCTTTTCTCAACACATACTAAAGAAGTTGTATCTGCTTTCATGTCTCCATTATAGACTAAATGAATGAATAAACTCACGGTTTTCCTCCTAATGTTTTCATCTACTCCCCCCTCCGCCCCGACGCCAACCCCTGCTGCCGATACTTGTTTGTGCGAAGCAATACTCAAACTATGGTATTACTATGCAATGCACAACATTACAAAAGCTTTTGCCTGTTCCCAAATAAAATGATCCCAATTTCACTTTAGTGAACATGCTTCTTTCTTTATTATTTCCAAAGTGTTGATCGTTTATTTCGCTGAGATTTCCAAACTAATGCGCGTCTTGTGTTGTTTGTGGTCACTAGGCTCTGAGGAAACAGAAAGTGATCCGGTCTGTCTTTGCAACAGTGGCGCAAAACTAATACCACTTTGAAACGCTAGGGTGGGAAAAGTTTTCTACAGCCCCTTTAATGACCTGTAGCATGCATCTGAATTCACTGTTAAGTCGCTTTGGCTAAATAAGTGACTCATATAGCGTTCCTTCAGTGGTTTGTGGGAATGGATGCAGGGCTTTTTTTTTTGCTAGCAGCAAATCTGCAAACACATATTGAGCACAGTGAATGTCAAACAGGAGAGCAAGAAAATATGTAAACATGTTTATGTTTCCCTTTCAAACACACTACGATAGATATGTGACCACATCCCATGAACTATGAATAGTGTCATAGTGATAGCATCAGATTATCTTCCTGGAAACCTAGTGACAAAGTCAGACACCCTACATGCATATGTTTGAACCGTGAATCTGTGTAAATCTGTGAAATCAGGAAGTATGTCCAGATCCATACACTCAACAAACACCTAATATAGTCATAAAGTAAGCCTTATTCTCTAGCTTTTTTTCCAATTTCCAATTTACATTTCTGCATTCATTTTTTTTTTTACCGTATTTTCTTCTCTCTTTTCTATATTCCAGGAGGGGTGATGGACATGGTCGTACATGGTATTGTTTGAAAAAAGAAAAAAAAGACGCTTTTTCAATCTGCTTTTCACACTCGTGTGTGTGTGTGTGTGTGTGTGTGTGATTTTATGTCAAGTCTAACAAGTGCCACTTGTCGCATCACAGAGAGCAGGTCACTCCTTCTGGAATCTGACTCAGCGATAACTCCAGCCTTCAATTGAAAGATGAGTCAGCGGAAGTCACCTTTGTTGGCAAGTTAGGCAACCCCCCCTGTTGAAAACCCAAGGGAATATCTAGCTGAAAATGTGTATTTTTGATAACTTGGCGATTCAAATAAAAAAAACAATATTCACTTGGAGAATACAAGAAAAAGTTATATCTGAAGCTAAATCAAACAGTGGCAAGAAAAACAACTGAAAGCGAGTAACTTCACCACTATGACAGAGTCTGCCTGTCTTATCACATATTTATCTTCTAAAGGTAAATACAGGATACTGTGTTTAGACTTTGAAATGTACTTATCTACTTTTAAGTTTTACTTTTAACATGATTTTTGCAAGGTTACATTTTAAAGGTGAGTCAGATTATTGTCTGTAAGAAAATATAAAGTTACTGGTATGTAGGCCCTCATATCATGGTTCCTCGATGGCAGTAGCCTTGCCTGCCTATTTGGCAGCTATTGCACTCCTAACAACCCTGAGGAGGGAGCCCTCTTCTGCGTTTCTTCTCAAGGTTTTTTCCCTCTGGGTTTTTGGGGGAGTTTTTCCTTGCCCTTTAGAGGGCTTAGTGTTAGAGGGTGTTGTATAATGTGGGCCTGTGAAGCCCTTTGAGACTGTAACTGTGATAAAGGGCTATACAAATAACATTGACGTGAAATTTGTCAAAGGTTGCCTGGCAAGAATTTTTAACTTTTTTACAAAAAAATATATCTTTTTGGGTTGCATCTTAAAAATGCAAAAAAAATATTTTCAAACTTTAAAAACAGTTGACCACACTTTACAATACACCTTCACTTGTACAGTTATAGGGTCACAAAAGCAGTGAATAAGATAATGGTAGTCTAGGGATGTTTGATTCCCAGCCAAAAGGTCCTGGGTTCAAACCCCAGTGTCCGCAGTCTAATTGTTGGCATCCTTGAGCAAGATGCCTGACCCCTACCTGTTCATTCACGGCACAAAAAAATCACTTTGAGTCACTTAACTAAATTAGTGAAAATAAATTCTGGTACAAAATGAATGTTCAACCAAACTCAAATTAGCCTTTAACGCTAAAACTGAATTAGTTAATAAACCAATAAACATTATGAATTAACTTAACTAGCTTTAAAAGGGTTCACACTGTGTGATAATAGCATAGAAACATATCGATCACTATAAGATCATTCACTCCAAAAGACGTATACAGCCTAAGAATGACTTCAATTAAATAGTTTCTACATGAAACCATACGAACATATCTCCGGCTAGTGTGGTGAATGCCCTTTGAATGTAATTGAAAAGATAACAGCTCAACAGTTCAACGCTGCTACGTCGATGAATGCAGAGTTTCAGCCCCATTGCCAACAGCATTCTTATGATAATAGTATAATGCTGGTGCTTTAGTTAATTGTGTAAAGGCAAAAGCAGCGGACACCTATTGTCAAGTACTCCCTAGGCCCAGAAGAAAAGGGCTGGATTATTGTGGCTATACAACTTTTTATGGGGGCCACAGTTTCAAAACACACATTTAGCCGATATTTGTGTTTGATACAAAAAACAAAACAGGCCCTATATGTTAATATTCAAAGTTGTATTGGTTTTTATAGTGAATTATATGGACTTTGGAGTGTTTTTTTTTTTTTTTTAATAGTCACTGCATTGAAATTAATTTGAAGGAACCTCCATCCATACCATGCACAATGGTGACACACACACACACACACACACACACACACACACACACACACACACACACACACACACACACACACACACAGACCCCCCCCCCCCCCCCCACACACACACACACACACTTGAAAGATGCATGTCGTTTTTGCCCACACCCCAGTCCAAAACGGACATCCCAATTCAGTTACATGCATGAGACAACAAAAAATAGACATGTTGTTATTCATTATAGTTTCAGTATAGAACAAAAAAAGCTGTACATACATGCTTCTTTTCTTTTCTTTTTGTACATAACTGTATCGCCCATCACGACCACTCCCAAATGAAACAACCCAGCAACTATGTAGCATACACTGAGTGACATCCACCCTTCATGTGTTGAGAGTTAACATGGCTAACTAAAGCTATATATATATATATATATATATATATATATATATATATATATATATATATATATATATATATATATATATATATATATATATATATGCCAAACTAACGTAACGGGCCTCTAGCTAACGTTGTCCCCATGGAAACGGTCCTAGCATGATTACTGCCTCTGGTCCAGCGGACGGGATGGGACAGTAGAGAGATATGTAGCCTATAACCGTTTCTTTATCCCGCCATGTTTTAGTTTAGTGTTGTTGCAAGCCATATTTGTATAGAAATATCATATGATATGATGCTAAACGTCCCCCCCAAAAAACAGAAACATGGAGAGGGTTGTCTGTGGAAAAGGCCCCAACGGCGCCGTACCGTTAGCAGCAGTGTTGGGATAGCAACACGTTCGGTCCAGTGGCGTTGGTGTCGGTGTTGGTGTCAGACGGAGAAACGTTTAAAACTGGATCCGCCGATGAAGAGGGAGACGTGGACGGTAAAATACATAAATACAGATACAAGATACAAGTCTACAGATACAAGTCTTTCCGGCTGTTTAACCGAAAGACCTGGTGGTTCATGCCCACCCAGGGACGCATCCTTCCTCTCTCTACTGCTAGCGGTTTTAAAGTGTTACACTTTCTCCTAACAAATGTACTTATTGTAAGTCGCTAGTCGCAGGACAAAAGCGTCTGTTAATGTAAATGTAAGTCAGTAAATGGAAACTGCTGAAAACCGTACGCCCGAAAAGGACCGACCCCGCCCTCAACACACACCGTAGGCCCGTTCGACGAGCAGGGTCGCGTGTAGGCCACTGGCCTGTGAAAATGAAGACCAGTATGGCAGTGGAGCTGTAGTGTTGACAGGAGAAGGTGTAACAGTATACAGCTCTGTGTATACAGCTTGGCTGAATATAATTTGGCCCAGCAGCATATTAATTTGTTGCGTGGAGTTGATGTATATGTGATCAAATTTGAAGTGACATGTATTGTATATGGTGGCATGTAGGCCACCATGTACTATATGTACAATTGGGCATCATAACAAGTGTGTGTGTGTGTGTGTGTGTGTGTGTGTGTGTGTGGGGGGGGGGGGGGGGGGGGCATGCAGTGTTTCAACTGGGACCAGCAGCAGCAGAAGAGAAGTGGCTCTCGCGCACGGCCGCCGTAGCGCCATGGCAACGAAGTTGCGGCTGCTGCTGCACCTGCGCGCGAGGAGGAGTGCGAGGAGTAAAGAAGCTCGCCTCGCGCCACAGCGGAAGCCGCCGTCGTCTCGTCTCTCTCCTGTTTGAAGAAGCACGCGGCGACCAGCAGGCGATGGGCGTGAGGACCAACAACAGGTAGGACTGTTGTCGTGCATTTGTGTCCGTTTATATTTTATTTTTATTTTATTTTTAAGGGTACGTGGTGCAGTTGGACACATGCGTTTGACTTACACTTCACAGACGCAGGCTTAACGGAGAACCGCTCAAATATATGTATATTTTTATTAATTTGTGTACATGTGTTCGTGTATTGCACGTTGTTTGTTAGCTTAATACAACCCCAGAATACGTTGGACGTGTATTTGACTCACTTAGGCATGTTTGAATATATTTCATGGGTAGTTGGTGGAAGGTAGTTGGCTAGGTAGTTGAAGTAAAAGTTTGTTTGGGGATGGATAATGTTTCACAAAATGTGCACAAAGTATCATCGTTTACTAAACATTTCATACGCACGTTGCGTTTCCACACACATAAGACATTTGCGTCGAAAACGCTGGCTTTCAATGATGACTTGACATGGCGTAACCATTTGCCTATTAAGTTTGCTTGACTGTTAAATGTCAATAGAAGTGAATATAAAATTATCCAGGCGCGTGCGCCACTAAATCATACATTTATATTGATTAATTGGCTAATCTATCGGAGGAGGGGACAATCAATCAATGCGCAGCCTAAGCACCCCCATGTAACGTATTTTGGCGCTGCTGGTTCCATCCCATAATTTTTAAAAAACGTTTCCATTTAAAACGTTCAACTTGGATAAACTGGACAGCCTTTGCGCGCCTGTAGCGAAAGTGGACCACAAAAAAACGGGGGGCCCCCCGTGGACGTGGACCCAAAAACTCCTCACTTAGTTCGGTTCTCGCGTCAAAAACAGTTTTTCGCCGAAAAAAACAAACGACGCCATTCGCATGTGTGCAAAAAAAGGGGGTGATCGAGGCGACGCGATTATAGTGTTGTGTTGTAGTGTTGTGTATGGTGTTTGTGGTGGTGGTCTTTTGAGTGTGTGCACACACACACACGCACACACACACACACACACAAAAAAGGTGCAGCTGCTCGAAGGGGGGGAACTTGTGTGGAAGAAGAGCCATTGAGGAGCGATCCCGGCGTAATAAACGGATCTCTCCAGCTCCAGCTCTCCGGTCGAGAGAGAGAGACGGACGCGGACACACACACACACACACACACACACACACACACTACACACACACAGAGCCAACGCAGCGCTAAACCAAACCACCCCCCCTCCTCTCCTCTCCTCCTCTCCTCTCCTCCCATCGACACGGCGTTTCCACCCCGCGGAACTCGTCGCGGATACACACACACAGGTAAGAACCGGGCCGTTGGGGGGGGGGGGGGGGGGGGGTGTGGGGTGTGTGTGTGTGTGTGGGGGGGAGAAGAGAGACCTTTTCAGGTTCGCCATCCGTGCGGGCGAGGCGAGGCGGCGGCACCGGGTTTGTGTCCGTTGCGCCTCCGACTTCCCCCCGCGGAGCCGAGCGTGGTTGTTTTTTGTGCAGAAAAATGGCGTCATCGCCCTCTTGTTTCTGCCCCGGCCGCGGGGATATAGTGGTGGTTGGTGGTGGTGGAGAGAGAGAGGGATTGCGCGATGGGGGGGTTTTAGCCGACTCGCGTCCCGGGGGCCCGACGGCGTGGTCCAGACGCGGAGCGGATCGTGATTTTGAGTCCATAGGGGGGGACGCGCAAAAATGGAGAGGGAGAGAGAGTCGCCAGTCCTGTGCGCCAAGCTGCCTCTTTGGGAAAAAACGGTGGCACGCACCGCCGCAAAGCGCAGCGCGTTTCTTACTCTCTTATAACAATACCGATACCCAAAAGGGTCCATAAAGACCCGTATATTTCGATAGACGTGGTGGTCCCGGTTGGGGACGGCGATGGACGCGGTCGTGACAGTGTGGCCCGTTGTCTTTGTGTGCGTTTTGCATTCGGATTATGTCGTTTTTACGCCGCATGCTGCACGGCGGCCTCCATGTATATGGTTTTGAAAGGTGCATTTGTTGGTTACCCAGATTGTCCCTTTTTGGATCCGAGTTAAGCCGCTAACCTTTTGTCGGCCGATGTATTGACAATATAACCGTGCAAAAAGGGAGATTTTCGTGGTGGTTGGTGATGTGTGGTGGGTGGGGGGATAATGGAGACGATGCAAATCGTGCCATGAGAAACGGCGACTAGTAGTACTACCCTGCGCCCTGGCCGCCTCGTAGCCAAAAGCAGGGCAGCCCTGAATAAAAGCGGTCCTTTCGGTGGAAACCACGTACTAGTTAGCGCACACACACGCACAGAAACACACACAGAAACACACAAAAAAACTAGGGAAGTCCAGAGCTGCGCAACGTTTGCGCCGAGGCTGACGGCAGCTGCTTTAACCGCCGCCAGTGTGTGTGTGTGTGTGTTGTGTGCGTACGTGTGTGTGTATATGTGTATGTTTTGGCGATCCCCTTTTTGTAAATAGTTGGGGACAACAACACAACCCCCCCTTGCAACACAATACTTAATAATTCACGCGTGGGGTGGGGGGGCGGTGGGGGTCCTTTATCCCCTTTATTTAGCCTGTAAAACGCGGTTCC